GTGATGGTGGCCACGGAGGCTGCTGCTGTATTTTCAGTAAATACGCCTCAGCGCTCCGAGAACACCAACACATGTGCAGCGTCAGTGTTTTCACTGGGAGGACTCACTCTGAGGTCAATTACATTTTAAAATGCATCATAAAGCCAATGAAACTTTTATTTCTTTAGATAGAATTAATTGCTGTACTTCAGTGTAATATGTGGCCCCCATGGCATTTATTATAGGAAAAGACATTAAGAACAACTATTTATCTGAACTCTTTCTAAACTCTCAGGCTTTTCATACCAACTGTGCTTAAAGGTGACCTATTGTGCACATTTTCCCCTCATGCTTGCGAACGCTGCCTCATCCTTTTGTCAGCGTGGACGTTCTAACACTGGAGGCAACGTAATTCTTTGAATGTAAACATCCGCAGCAAAAATATTACAACAGGACGCATCTGTTGGGTAAATAAGACCATCAGTACCTGTCTAATCTGTGACATGATGGTGGGGTTAGTTTTATTGTTGAAATCAGAAGCCCTTATGTTCACGGGCGCACAGGCGGGAAATTCGCTGAAATGCAGAACACAGTTGAAAACACGCGCTGTCGGGAAGCACCAAAGATAACACAGTTCATAAATGTTATCCCGCTGCCACCAAACAGACCGTGTCGTAGCAGCACACGGTGTTGGTTGTTTGTATGCTGAAGAACATTCAGTGTAGTCAGACAATCATACTGAAGTCAACGTTCACCAAGAAAACCCACTTCGTAGGCTTGCTAAGCCTGCATGACCTTATATGGACATCCGCGACCAGCTGACATCAGCTTGTCACAAATGTAGAAAAAACTGTCGCAAACCTCGTATCCAGACCTACAACCGTGTTAAATGCATGTTGTCATGAAACAGTTTGCTTTAATACATTATTACAATTAGACAGTAAATTTAAATATAAATGTGACGATAATGAGCTACGTCCCCCTTTAAAGGACTGTTCTCTTTTATTTCACTTTTAATATGCCGGACTGGACACTAACTTCACTCAGCAATATTTTATGGTATTTCAGACCACTGAAATTTGATGAGACTCCACAGTATACTGGTGGTTAATGGTAAATCCTGGCTCTGCAGGGTTTAGGTGATAATGAGTTCATGGCGTTTTATCGTGTCATTGACTGTAATCCACTTGACCAAACATGCATAGCTTCTGACTGAACCACAATGTTTGCAATGCTTATGAGGAGGTGATCAGAGGAAGATGGCAGATGGCAGTAGAACAATGCAGCGAACACTGGAGAACATGGCAGGGCTTGGTACAGCTTAATGACCAGGGTGACACATGCATCTCCTACCTGGATGGCCTGCAGAAGCCGGATGCATTGCTCCCTGACGTCTTCAAAAGGACACCGTTTGGACAGCATGAGGAGGTGAGCCAGGATGTCGTTCAGTTCGCTGTTGGGAAGACATCCTAAAGCCGGGGGGGAGGGCGCCGACGCTGGTATGGGCCCGATGGCCTCCACTTTCCTCATGACCTCCTGGCAGATGTTCTCCATCGCCTCAGTTCTGGAGCTGACATCGCGGCTCCCCAGCCCGTCCCATCTCCCCAGAGATTCCTGGTCCTGCACCTCCATTTCTTTACGTAGGACTAAAGTTTGTGCTGTCTTACAACAAGCTACGATGAGACATTACACGAGAAAAAACCAACAGTAGTAAATATGCAGCGTGTGAGGAGTATAACAACAATGCACAATCAAACAGCAATAAGTAGGACACAGTTTAAAAAATAAATAAATAAAACTAGAAACCAAAGATACCAAAGAAATAAAGTAATATTGTTAAAATGTCACACATGAAATTAAATGGTGTAGTAACTATAAGCTGATGACAGGCTGGCAGCAGTCTAGTAGGTCCAAACTATGCTCAGAACTGTCTCAGTACTGGGGCTGAACAGTAAGTAGAAATCCTCCATCTGTATTTGGGTCACTGATTGTCGGCCTGGGCGATTATCAGAGCATATTTCACATTATTGATAAAGTTAACTTTTTAACTGACTTCCAATAAAATAAGATAATTTAAAAATGCACGGCTTTGGCTGCCTCTCCCTGCCTTTAGTCACAATCTAAAGCAATATCTGATCTGATTTGTCACTCATCATGAAGAAAAAGAGAAAAGAAATCACATTAGTCTCCTCCTAATGTATTTATGTCTTCTTGTGTTACATCACATCATACATACTGTGATGGAGTTAAAACTTTTAGACAGATTAGACAGTCAGGAATGTCTGTTTTTGTAAATCGAGCACATCAGATACTGAATAAACCAAGATGCTTCCTCTTAATGATGCAAAAACCAGTTTATATAGTACGTGTATCATCACATTTTGTGATTTATCACATCTTCTCAGTGCATTAAAGTTTTATCTTCCCACTAAAACTGTACATGTTGTGACTGTACAGAAGGCTCAAGCTAGTTTATTAAATACCAACAGCATTATCAGAGATTTAAACCCACACCAGCCGTTTATCGTATTCAGTTTTCTTCCACAAATAACAGCATGATTTAAATACACATTCTCAACAACCTGCCCAATACAGTGATATGGACATCCACTGCTTTTGCAAATCAGAAACTAAAACACAAGAGTTGTTTTTATATATAAAGTGGACATGAGGTGAGCAGAGCGCAGCCTGTCACTGAGCTCCATTCAATCTCTCGCTGCCGATCTTCGTGTCAAGCTGCCCGTTAACAAAGACACCAGCAAAGTACAGCCGAGCCGCGGCGGAACCAACAGCCTGGAACACAAGCCTGTCACTGCGGCTCCAGAAGAGAAGGTGTCATTCCTAAATACTCACTTTATCCACATTCTTTGGTGCAGGTCTCCTGCTGCGGGACGCCTCGTCTCAGCGCTGACCAGCAACGTTAGTCACAGGCTCGAAGCGACGGAGGCAACGACTTGAGGGTAAACATCTGATTGGCAGCTGGGACTGACCAATGAGCGCAGGCTGCTGACATTCTAGGGCGGGGCTGTAGCGGTTCTGACAGATGATTGGTTAGTGGGACGTTACCCCAGTCGAGGCGCAAAGGCTTATGGGAGTTGTATTCTTTTGGGTCTGTTTGTGTTTTAGAGGGCAGCGCTTTACAACTACATCCCCCATCAGACATTTCGGGGCAGCAGCCCCCCCTTCCTCCTCTTGTTTATCAGAAATAACTGAGACAGACAGAAAAACAGACACAGCAGACAGAAAGGTGGACATGTGTTTCTATTTGTTCATTAAGTTTAGATTCATCTGTATGTATGTGCCACGCTGCACACTGAGACGCCTCGTCCCTTTCATTTAACACAAACATGCCAACATGAGAGATTTTATGAAAGAAGTTAACAAGGAATCTGGAGTCCAGTGCAGTACAAGGCTGGTTCAAGTACACGTGATGCTAAAGAGACAACAACATGTAGCAGCAGCCTGCACAAGATGCGTTTCCTACTGCTGCAGGACATTATTTGCATGCGGCTGTGCAAATGTTGACAGTGTGATTGATGGGTTTACCATCATGAGACACTGTACTGACACACAACAACATCAGTATTCATAAAAATTACACTAATCAGAGAAATCTCCTCTGAAATGTTCAGTGGACTGCACACATCTCCAACAGCATCATGTACAGCAGCCTCCCAGCCTGAAGATCACAAGGGGATCATTTACCTCTCCTAAACTTTAGTACAGTCCAGAAGGAGGTTCTGTCTTTAATCATATATAGTTAATCAAGGCCATGGGTAATACTGAGGACACCAAGCCCACCTTGTAGAAACAGGACAAAAGCAAAATGCAGCTAAAACAGGTGCTTCTCAGCTTGAGGACAGCATATTTTACAAAAAGGCAGGAGCACACTGGTTAATTAATACTCTTTTATTGTGTAAATAGACTAACATTTTAATACTCATGTGTCTTCATCAGAGTGCTGCTGACGTCCTGTCCTTTGCTATAATTAGGTGATAAAATAACAGTATTACTGCAACAACATTGGTTTGTTATTCTGATAATGAAATGAGGTAAAAATGCTTCTTTTCCCAACAAACTACACGCAGGACTTGTAAACCCTGTTTTTCTACAATCCTGCTGTACGTTACTCTCATCAGGTTTTAAGATTGTCTTGGCGGTTAAGTTATTATAAATACTAAGCAATTAAAGCACAGATCGCAGACCCAGGTATTACATAGGAGCACAGCTTGTTTTCTTGAAAATCTGTATGAGAATTAACAAGTTTGCCTATATTTATATGAGGAGTTCATTTGCAAAAACAGATCAGTTGATCTTCACGAACCCTCAGAAAACCCACTACCTGAGACAATATCAATAATCTTAAGTTATTTTTTAAAAGTCATTTCTATTGAGTCAAATCCACTCAACTTCAGTTTGATTGATATTATCTCAAGCAAACAACAAAACATACGGTTTCTGAAAATCTACAAAAATGGAGTTATCTGTTTTTGCAGATGAACTCTTCATATTTAAGGGTCTTCGAGTATCTTAAAAAGTGCTGTGTAAGTATTATTATTATAATTATTATATAAGTTTGTATTAAATTATTTTAAACGTAATCTCTGTGTTGTTAGTTTTCAATATTTTAATGTTTGAATTTCATCTCACTAAATGATTGTCTCCCATGTGTAGTGTGTGTAGGTCTCTTTGTTTTTTAGAGGGAATCAGAAAGGGAGAAGGCACAATTAGCTTATTATTATTATTATTATTATTATTATTATTATTATTATTATTATTATTATTATTATTATTATTACGTTTTACTTTTTCCTTGTTAACCACCTTATATTGACAAACCTTTCGTATGTGTAGGTGGGTATGTTAAACTACCCTGAAAGGTCTGAACCCTGGAGAAGGAGGAGCAGCAGTGCGCAGGCGGAACCACCGTGAGCAGGCCTGCAAAGAGGAGGGAAATTTAAAAAGTCCGGACCGCCTCCTCTAATGGCGACAGGACAGCTGAGTCGCCTGTTCAGTTAACTAGCTACACAAAATCATTTACAGCTTACAGCACTAAGGATAGGCTAACAAACAGGTAGCTTCCTTTGTGTCTCAGGATGGAGACTCACCTCGACCAGGTAACGTCCGACAACCTGCCGCTAGCCGACAATGTGGCTAACTCGTTAGCTTCGCATTGTTTACTTTCACCAAGTCGCCGTTAGCTAACACACGACGCGACGGTTGCTAAGCTAGCAGTGCTGTATGCTACCGTGACAGGTTGTCATCATGGCGTCATTTGTCGTTTTATTTCTGCATTTTAGGGGCACTGAGGCGGGTTTGTTAGGAAAACAGCGTCCTGGTTAGCTGAGTAGTCCAGTAGTCTCTCTCCAGATAATGTGCAGTCGTGTTGTTTATTTATTCAGGAGAAATACTGAAGTTGGTTTCAGCATGTAAGGATGTAATATAGGATACTTCTGATTACTGTGTGTCGACACACAGTCATAAACAAAAGTTTACATTCGCTTGACTATATATATGGTGGCAGACTTAAGTTAGCTTTGCCGTGTGTATATTAGGGGCCCAGATGATTCTGTCATATTTATATATGCACTAAATGTGCATGTGTTTCAGTTAATCCATCATAGAAAATTAAGAGTTACTCAGGACTGCTATGACATACATGATCTTGTATGTCAACGTTTGTTCACGACCGTATGTGTGTGTGGTGGCACATAATCAGATGGCTGGCAGAGAATCATTAGAGTTTAGCTGAAATGCTAAAAGGCACAGATGTCCATCTCACAGTACACTTAGAAGGACCTGTACGTGGTCGTATGGGGGTCAGATTGGAGATCATGAACCACTTGGACGTACAGACTGTGACCATTCAGGAGCTGATGAGAAGAGAGAGTCACATGTTAGCTTGCTTCACACACCCTGATGATGCAGATTGGAAACTGTATTTATGAGAACACAGAGCTTCCTAGTTTGCAATAGACTCATTTCCTTTTCAAACGTGTTGAGTCAGAAAACACTCCATGTCAGCTGTTAATCAAATAAAACAACCCACTTTAAAGGCACATTTTATTGTTGTATATTGATGATACAAAGTATTACATGAGTACCACCCTTTCATAGTTTATAATAACGTCACCTTCTCCCCTTGTTGTCTGTAGAGTTTAGACTCACCGTCCAAAAACAGTTACATTGGGAGTTACTACCAGCCTCCGGACAGGCCGTTTCTAGCATCAAGACATCTGGAGTTCTCTGCACAGCCGTCGGTCAGCGTGGACCCACAGACTGCCAGCAGCCCAGGGCCACAGACCAGGCGTAGTATTGACAGCCAAGGTATAGCGCCACCCTCATCTTCTGGTCTGATGGCCTCCTTGTTCTGAACTGACTTTAATCTGACTTATCAAACAGAGTATTTAAAGTTGCTCTTGACATCTTTAGTTCTTCAGCTGCTCTCATGTCATGAGGGGTCCCACAGGGCTCAGTCATTGGCCCCACAAACAATCAATACGAAGCAGTCGGCCAGATTGGGAGTTACTGTTGATCAATACCTCAACTTCCATCTGCACATTAAGGCTCTTAGTAAATCCTGCTATCTACACATGTGGACTATTGTTCAACCAATGCTCCTCAAAAATAGAGCTGAGCAGCTAATCCACACTGTTATTATTTCCCAGCTGGACTTAAACAACTCACTGTTCACTGGCCTTAGCAATGCAGCAATCGCTCTTTAACGGTCAGCTCAAAAGGCAGCAGCAAGACCACTCACAAGGACTTGATACAGGGAGCACATACCTTCAGTCCTGCTCAGATTTATTCATTATATAAATCAGTTTAAGACTCCTCAGATCAGAGAGTCAATGTGGGACGAGCTCCTCTTTACAATCAGAACAGTGCCTCCGCTTAAAGAGCTCTGAAAACACATCTATCCAGACAAGCATTCAAGTTTTTATAATGTATGTTGTTGCTTTTTAATGGTGTTATCAGGAGAGGTTTCTTAGTTTTTTATTTTTTGTAAAGTACCTTGTAACAAGTTTCAAAGGGTTCATTATTATTATTATTATTATTATTATTATTGTTATTATTTTACAATAATCAGGATTTCTGCTGTTATGAACTCCTCTTCAGCTGTCGTTGATGCACTGAAGACCCTCCAGGAGAAAATCAGATGGTTGGAGCTGGAAAGGAAGGACGCGCAGAAGAGCTACCGTCAGTTCTACCACGAAGCTCAGAAGCATCAGCAGGTCACAGCTTCACGCAGTCAAACCAGAGCCAGCCAGCCTGAGACGGATGACTCAGCCAGGAAAGGTACGTGACAGGGTTTAAACAGAGAGGAGACGGTCCTTCACTGGACTCGTGATCGGTTTTCTTTACTATAATTACTTTATGGTTGCTTTGTGTGTGCTTATGATGACAGAAGTGGAAACCAAGCTGCAGTCGGCTGAGGCTCGCTGTAAGGTCCTGGAGAAGCAGCTGGTCTACATGAGGAAAATGGTTGAAAATGCCAAGAAAGACAGGAATGCTGCGATGGAAAACCAGGTAGAGGGCTACAACTGCACAACAACAATGCTGCGTCCCTCACAGAAGGTTAACGAGTGATTTTAGCGTTTTATACGCTCTGGTGATCTGGTTTCTGTTAGTTTCTGGCTTCTCTGGATGTACGTGGCACAAGTGCATGTTACTTAACAGCCATATAACCTCCCGTTCCCCTTTGCTCCCCACCAGGCTTCACTGCAGAGCCAGCAGCCCAGCAACGCAAACAACCAGACTCAGCGGGAGAAGCTGGAGAAACTTGAGTCCGAGTGTCTTAAACTGAACAGAACCCAGACCCTGGCAGAGGTACCTCAAGGTTTTCCAGTGCTGCAGACTGTCCAATGAAAACACGTTCTCATCCTGAAGTCGTTAGTTTAAACGCTGATCATCTGTAGCTGAGGTATGAGCTCGTTATCTTATAGGTAGATGTGATGTGTTTTCAGATGAAGCTTGCCATTCTGGAGCAGAAACTACTCAAAGAAGAGCATGAGCGTAAACTCGTTCAGGAGAAGGCAGATGAGGTCAGTCACAGTCGGTTTACTCTTTTACAGCAACGTTACGTGATTCCTCTTAACTATTACATGACACTCAGCTTCTTCGGGTTTCATTCCCTCATATGTAAAATATGCTAATAGGAGTGAAATGCTACAAAATTATCTTTAAAACGGATTAAATAAAGAAGGAGAATCTTTTTTGAGGCTGTAACCTTAGTTCTGATTACTGCAGCTGCAGAGGGAGTTAGACGTCAACCTTCGATTGTCTGTGCCGACTGCTGAAGAGACAAAGCCAAAGAAGAAGACAAGAAAGACTGTTAAGGTACTATTTTTACTGATAAAGCCACATGTTTTAATGGATGTAGCAGTGATAACGTCTGTCTTATTCCTCAGAAAGCCTCTAAACAGGCTGAGCTGGCGTCGAGCAGCCCGAGGCGCCAGAAAATGCCGTTCGTTGCCGGGACAGTAAGTCGATTCTGATTTCTGCACTGACCCTAAAATACATAAAAATGAATGTTGTGTCATTTTGACTCCTTTTGACTGAGTTCGTTTCCCCCTGCCCGTCGTAGTCGACAAGCCCGAGCCATTCAGTCCACGCCAACGTACAAGTTATCCTCCACATGATGAAGCACCACCAGCCCCAGCTGTGTGAGCGAGTGAGCGCTCTGCACAGGGCTGGGTGTGGAGCCAAGAAAAGCCTCCAGAAGGACTTTCCTCCATCTTCCTCTGCTGTCCATAAGCCTGACAGCCTGCCTGCAGATCAGCTGCTGAGCTCGCTGTCTGACCTGCTGTTGGCTCTGCAGGACGAGCTGGGACAGATGAGCTTGTACGTTGTTTGTTGATGTGTTTTTGTTGTTATTGTTTCGTTTTGTGTTCTCTTTAAACCACCAGTAATGTTTGTTTGTGCTCGGTTTGTCAGTGAACATCAGGAGCTGGTGTGTCAGATAGATGCTGTCCAACATCAGGAGCAAAGACAAGGTTTGCAGAGAGAGCTGGAGAGGCTGGTGACCAGGATGGAGGAGAAGGGAGCTCAGATCACGAAGCTCCGCAAACACCAGCAGATGGTACGTGTCCTCCAGCTCAGTGAAGCCAAGAGGTTTGGATGTAAAGATGTCAAATAACAAACTTTCTTAACTCATAAAGGAACTTTTCTGGAGTCCCACCTTCTCTCAGAAATCTGTTTTGTAGATGTTCTTGTCTTGGATGCTGGAGTTTGACGAAGCAGAATTACGTTAAAAAAAAACGAGTTTAACAATAAAGGATTTTTTTTTTTTTCTGAAAGTGGCTGAGCTCACCTTCAATCTGAGTTTCAGGTTAGGGTTACCATCATTTGCTATGTCATGACTTCTTTTGAAATCTGTTCTGGTCCAATAGGCAGAAAACTTGAAGCTTTGTACAAACACAGAGCGGACTTTTCAGGGACAGACGAGACAACTAGTCTCCTGTAAATATGGAAACTGATATATACGAGGTGTGTCAGAACAGTTCCAGGACTGGTGTCACAACAGATAGATGTTAAACCCAAACTACAAACTACCAGAGTTCTCCTTCCCAGTAACCCTCCTGGACTCTACCACCCTCCTCCAGCCTTCTCTTCACTCCTGGATGGATTCTCCAGGATCCTCTCAGCTCCGTCCTCACAGCCATCTTGATGTCGTCCACGTCTTCTAAACGGGTCTCCTTGATGAGCCCTTGAGCTTGGGGAGGAGGAACCAACCCCACGGAGCCAGGTGGGGTGAGTAGGGAGGAGATGTTCTCCTCAGCAGGAGCTGTGGGATGCTCAGGGCGCTGTGAGCAGGTTGTCATGGTGACGCAGCCTCCACTGGTCCTGACACAACTCTGCATCTTCTGGACGAAGTTATAGCAGCAGGACCTCTGTAGACGAGCTGGTTGATGGTCTGAAGGAGAAACTGGTAGTTTGGGTTTGAAATACATCTCCTGTGACACCAGTCCTGGACCTTTTCTGACACCTCGTCTGCACTATTGAATGTTATGTTATTATTGGATTTTTCTGTGAAGACAAGATAGGATTTTAATCATTTATAACCAGGTAATTGTACTTTCTATGACCACATAACACATATTTCCTAACATGTCTGTGAAGGATCTGGAGTATCCTGCATGTCTGTTTGTGGTGTTGGGATGTTTTATGACTTCTGCTCTCCACAGGTCCACAGAATGACCCCCAGCCTGGCGTGTGCTGAAGAACACGCAGCCAAGAAGCTGAGTGGAATCCAGCCGCCCGTTCCTTCCCCTGTTAAGGCTAAACAGAGAGAGAAGAAAGGCATGACGACTCAGAACAACCTGCGGCTTCTCAGAGAGACCCAAAAGCTGAGAAACAGCCTGAAACAAGACGACCTCTCCTGGGAAACATGAGGCTCTGATGCTACAGCTGGACCGAGCACCAGACTCCCCTCGGCTCCTTGCAGCTTGTTTTCTTCTCTCTTCAGACAGCCTGTGGGACATTTTTAGGAGCAAGTTAAAGTGGGAATGAAGAGTTTTATGCAGGACTTTGCATATTATCACAAAACCTATGAGGCGGTAGGTGGCTGAGTTCAGTGCCTTCATTGGTATAATTTATGAACCGTGACCTTAATCTGCGTTAATGATGTGAATTAAGTATTTTTCATCTCAAATAAAGCTGATGTAAATGATTTTAAAGTATTTAGTTTTACATTTGTAATAAAGTTTATTCTCAACAGATTGTGTGTTTATACGTTTGTTCCCCAGAGCAGCCACTAGAGGGCAGTGCTTAGCCTGTGTCTGAATGCAAACCTGAAGGCTCCTACGTTTAACAAGTCACGCCAATGCAAGTATAAAGTATGGCCCTGTGACATTGTGTATAGCATCGGCCGTGCAGCTGTCTCCAACAGTCGATAATGCAAACGGCCCGAATGCTGTGAACCGCTGAACTGTGCTGCAGCAGCTGGCAGGACAGCTGAGTAAATGTAGCCCAAACCACAGGTCAGACGGATGTGGGCTCTGCTCTGAGCACGGAGGAGGAACTGCTTTCAGAATTCTGCTGTTTCATGCAGCCACAGCAGCTCAACTCTTAAATTCAGCTATGAACGCTATCTCAATCATACGCGGGTCAGATGACAGGACGCATTTCTTGCATGCCTCACACTTAAAGCTGCTGTGTTTATTTGAGTCAGCCACCTTTTTAAGGGACATGTGAAGCTGCCTCACAGCATTCCTGAACACATCGCCTCATTGTCAGGGCTGCTTCAGCACTTCTACATGTTGTTCTGAACACACAAGCAGCGTTTTTCACCTGTCCTGGGTCACTCCTTACACCACAAACCACTGAAGAAACAACTTAAAGTGTGTTCTGTTGTCGCAGATTGTTGAAATACGATTAAAACAGTCCCTAAGTTCCCTGTGTAAGGTTCTGGGTGACTGGGAAGCCAACAGATGACTGTTGTTGTTTGTTTCTGCATCAGTTCATTATGTGGCCAACATTGCTCGGTCCTGGTATTCTTGGCATGATCCAGAGTTCACTGCATGGTTAAACGGACTGAGCTGGTGTTTGCGAGAAAGACTAAACCTAATGCATTGTTTCTCTGTGCGCCTATATTAGATTACAGAGCATGACTGGACACAACAATCACGTTAGCCAAGGCGAGTCCAGATCCCTGCGTAGACAGCGTCTCTGTCCTGACCCTGTGACTACACGGCCCTCCTCTGTTCTCTGGTGCTGAATAGCAGTGGTGTGTTCAGACAGCCAGGTATGAATCGGTGTCGTGCGTGTTGCTGTGGGTGTGTGACAGGATTTCCTAACAGTTTGAAGTCCATCGTCTTGTAAAGATTCAGATGTTTCTGTGCACTGTGGCGTTCAAACACAGGAAGTTACAGCCGGTGTCATGGAGAGGTTACAGGTTCACACTTTAGCATCTCCACTGTGAGGCCACATGTTTGCTGGTCAGCTGAAAGACTTTCCACTTCCTCATGAAAGGCATTTAAGAGAGCTGTCGATGGAGCTGCACAGTCTTCACCACCAGTACCAGCACAGTGTGGCCGACTGCTTTTAATAGACACAGGACGCGACCAGGGGAGAGGTTGTCCACAAACATTCTCTCCTAAAACGCTCTGGTTCTGGGAAACCGCCAGCTGGGGACTCTGGGTCGCTGGAGGAATAACAGCGTGCTCAGCTCGAATACACACATTGTAAGCACACACACCTCATCCAAGAATGTGGCCCGTGATTCTTGAGTGAGTCACACAGATAGCCGCACATGCTCACTGACACTTCCTGTGGAGTAAACAGTTTTTTGCTTCATAAGCAGAACCTTGCTGTGACCTTGGAAACTGTGTTCTGTCAGGAGAGCAACACTAACAGGTTTCTTTGTTTTTGGCTCTCGCCGACTGGTTTGGACATTAACGGTACCACAGTTCATATATTAGTGTTTGGACACGCTGCAGTAAACTCTGTACCTGCTTCCCTTTCAATAACATGCTGATCTGATTGTGTTTAAATGGTATATACACTGATGGAGTGACCTCATTAAAGTTTATAACATGCAGGATTGTTTTTGTGGTCATAAACAGTGAGTGTGTAACGTCACCTTCAAGATTCAGAACTGTTTCACCTGATAGTAACTGCATGACTTCTAAGTTGGGGCTGCACGGTGGATCAGTGGTTAGCACCATGGCCTCGCAGCTAGAAGGTCGCCAGTTGGTGTCCCGGTGAGGACACCCGGGATCTTCCTGCGTGGAGTCTCCATGTTCTCCCCGTGAACACAGAACCCACAGCAGGTGCTCAGAGCAGCAACAGTCGGTCCACCTCTCATCAGATTCAGATCTTCAACACTTCACATGGCCAGAGTTATTTTTAAAGACGGACTAAATCCTCCACAGCGTCGAAGATAAGAACTTTCTGCAGAGATGTTCTGCCATTCCTCAGAGTTTTTTTTAGCTGGTCTTTGCCAGAGGGGTTGTGTTGCTCTACATTTAAAATACCCAAAAGGTTCTCTGTTGGATTCGTTCTTTGAAAAAATTAAATAAGTTTCTCAAAGAGCTTTTGTACTCATGCAGCCTCATAACTTCACACTAGTGTCAGGACTGTGCATCCACTGTGGTAGTCCAGACCAGGTTCAGGCCAAACATGCTGGACTGAACAGAACTAAATTATCTTGGTCAGAAGAAGCTCTCATACCTATTTTAATGCATCGTGGCAACCCTTTAGGATCCTTCTGCCCAGTCTGAAGCACTTGCCTGTTTTTCACAGCCTGACTGGACAATGAGTGTTCAGGACATCGTTTAAAAAGGACGACGACCACCGCAGCGCTGATCAGTGGTACTGGGGCTTGTTCTGTACCTCTGGATTACTGCTGTGGCCATTTCCAAAGATTTTTCATTCTTGTGTTCTTTTCCATCTTTATAAAGTCTCACAATATGATTTTTTTTTTTTTATGGGTCCAGAACTGAGAAAGATCATTATTATAGATAATTATTAATAACACTATTATTATAGATAATCATTGATAATTATTTAACCATCATCATTAAAGGGAATTCATTAAGTTTTTCCTCAGAATTTAAAAAAAAAACAAAAAAACAATTATGCAATCACTCTCTTTATCTCGTGAACAGGTCACAACCCCAACGTTAGAACTGAGACGCTACAGAAAGGAAATGGGAACCGAGGTCATGCAGTGGGCGGAGCAAATGATGCACCTAAGAGGTCCTACATGGACTCCACCCAGGTGAAGCAGACCAACAAAAAATAAATAAAAAGGGGGGAAGTTTGTAAGGCAGTAACAAATCTGGTTAAAATATATCAGCCAAACAAATCAGAGTGCTTAAAGATTAATTTCTATAAAGCCTGGATACAACCAGCTGGAAACCAGCTTCATGTGTAGATCACCAGTTTAGGGACACAAACGTCTCGATGGTGTAAATCTGGTTTGATTGCGCTGCTTTGCTGTTCACGTCTTCAACAAGAGAATCTGTTGACCTAGTATTAGTTACACACACACACAGGGCAGGACAAAAGGAAAACCTGAATCTGATACACCACCTTTTGTTGTCGCGGTAACTGGCCTTTTAACTGTAACCATGGCGATAAGAGCCCCACAGGACCCGCCTGCGTACCATCGTCCTCTCATGTAAATTAGGAAGTTGATGCTGGCGTCAAATGAAGGAAAATAGGAGCGATTTGTTTAACAATATTCAAACTTTATTGGTTTAACATTGTGAAACTAAAGGCAACACCAGAAAACAAGGCCAGAAACAGAACAGCTTGAGGGGAAAGAAAAAAGAAAAAAGGGGGACACAAAACAAGCAGAAAACATCTGAGGAGGCATTGTGGCACCTGCAAGTGTCTACATATGGCTGTGTGGCGACGGGGGTGACGAGGAAAACCAAAAATCGTACCTACAAGACGAACGGCCTCTAAAAGAACAGGTAAAAGATCTGGCACTACAGAGTGTGCACTTAGCATAAAGCCACGAGGCAAAGGAGGGAATCAAAAAGCCTGGTACTCATCACGCGCTGAACTTAACACTAACGAGGCTGAAAACAGGAGAGCCCTCCATGACCAAGCAAAGGTTTGAATTTAAAATCCTAGTGGACACAAGATGGCATTCAATGCAGCCACCGCATATTACAACCAAAGTGGAGTTCAAGTCATGCGATATGCAGCGTGGAGGAAATGTTGCAATCAAGAACACGAGGTCTGCGGTTACAACACGACCAGTGAGTTGTTTGATCATCGTGGAGGTGGTGAGAAGCTGTCCAGGCCACAGCAGGCTTCCTCTGCTCAGAACCACGCCATTCATCCCGTTAGAGTCACTTAGCAGCAGTGAAACTATCATTCTATCGTGTGGCTGTTAAACGCTGCTGAAACGTGATCCAGAAGTTCAAGACGCATCCAAACAAACAAACAAACCTCTGAAGCAACAGCAGCCTGATCGTGGCCTGGACAGCCCGTCACAGGCAGACGCTCTGCGGGTTCGATCAGGAAGTTAAGGCTGAGTGTGACAAAACAGACATTGAAGCAGAATACGACACAGAAAACCACTTCACAGGGGCCTGAAAGTGCTGAGTCCCGTCCATATTTAATACATGTGGCGTATCGGTTTCCTACACAACTACATATGGATTCTAACTGAATAAGGCACTTTTCCTTCGGAGGTGCAGGGACTGAGTCGGTAACTTGTACGAGGAGCTGCTGAGACGCAGCACAGTGGACGTTCGGTATCCACGGACACCAGACCTGTTTGGACAACGTCAACATGTGATGCTGTGTTCTTAAGGAATGCAGCGACCATGTTGGAATGCAGAGCGTTCTCTGGACGCAGCGGCCACACAGCAGACCGCTCAGCCGCCGGAGCTCAAACTCAAATTATTCTCTTGATTTGGCCGAAGGGACTCCACATGCAGAGAGTGAGCGAATGGGTGCAGCTAAGGCTAACAGCTCTCTAGCCTACTCGCCACACTCGGGTCTTTGGGCTGTAGCCTGATGCCACCAGGTGACTGTAGGTTAAAGGCGTGTTGATGGTGAGCAGCAGTAAACACTGAATCCCAAATTATAGAAGCAAAGAGAAAAGAAAACCGTCGATCATGATTTTCTTACCGTTTGTGTTCATACAAAACAGGGTGGTCATTTATTCATTACCTAGTTATAGTCAAGACTGAGTATTTATACAAGCATCTGATTTTTTTTTTTTTCTTTGTTTTGCTGTTTTTTAGCTGAACCATGAAGACATTTATAAAGGCAAAGTTACAAAACAAAGCTCGTCAGTGCAATGCTCAATTTCCATGCCAAAAGTGAGGCCTTTGGCTTAATGCACACTGTTTCAAGGCATTCCTTCAACTAGCATATGGGCTAATCACAAATAATCAAGTGGTTTTAAGTGTGTCTAAACCCCTAACAACATATGCAATGGAAGGAAATCAAATCACAACTCCAAGCATCAGCATGCAAGAATGAAAAACAAAAAAAACAAAAAGGCATTTGAACAAAACATTCCTGACACTGACAAGCTGCTACGAGCAAAACGGTTCTGATAAAACGCTTCTTCATTTAGCCTTCCTTAACGTGAAACCTAGAAGATGGACAAACACGGGACATGGCTATGTACAGGAGGGACAGACTGAGGAGGAATTAAATCACAGTTAGCAGCTAACCAATTAGAGGCCTTGACGTGAGCGTAAGCGCAGCCTCCTCGCTGCTGCAATCCTGCACTCGGTTCTGAGTCGTCGCATTAGCACGGCAAAGCTGGAAATCAGAGGTGCAACGCTCGTCGGACAAAACCAACACTCAGACAGTCCAACAGCTTCTTCTAAATCTAAATGCACTCTCTCCAATACATTAGATTTTTAATTAAGTCCAATATTGTTTCATTTCTTTTAAAAATAAGAAGCACTCTCAGGTTTATCGCACCTATGTCCTGCCAGCTCACTGTTTGTAGCTCGGTTCTGAAACATGGAGGTGGGAGGAACGTCAGGTGGCCGCATTAGATGCTACAAAGCTGAGAGCACCTTTACGTGACTTATTTGTGGGTTTCATGCACTGGATATAGTCCTCTACTGGACCTACAGGGACAACGTCTGGACTGATCAAGGCCCGCGAGTCAGAACTATCTACTGGTAACGATAAAAGGCTTCAGTCCAGCTGGGACACTACGGTTCTCACCAATATCAGCACAGCGATACCGTTTCTTGCTTACAAATATAAACTACTGACAACACTCGGGCCTCGACCAGGAAGAAAAGCTTCTTCATCCTCTCCCTCCAAGTCATCCTGGACACTAAAGGCACTTCACTGCTCTCACTGTCCACGTCTAGAAAGGTGCATGCCAGTTTATATATCTCCACTTTGTACATTTTAACAAATGAATTACTCCTTTATGAAATATTCTACAATTTGGACCCCTTCTGATTACTCCAGAGAGGACGGGGCCAGCTCCACATTAGCAACCCCACTGGGTCGGATCAGGACATGAATGGTTGTGAAATGAACTCGATCTATGAATTATTGCACTGAGCTGCTGTACTGGCAGTTGACATTTTTAACATCTTGTATGGGGTGAAACTTTTTTCGAGGGAATTCAACAGCAGAAAATGCAAAGGACTCTAAAAGGCCAAGAGAAACTCCCATGAGAATAAGACCTGTTGTTTAGTCTGACATCAGATGATTGAGTGTTGCTTTTATTCCCTTGTAAGCGCCTCAGCCTCTTTTACATCATCTATAAACACATATACACGATACAGCTGCGTGGAGGAGAGGAAACCTACGACTGAACAGGCTAAAAGCAAAACTGAATCATCGGAGTCGTCACATTTAAGAATAGCTGTGAACTCAAACAGCGTTTCCAAATCAAGACTTTTTAAAAAATGAAATCAGTGCCACCACTCTGCAGCTGTACGACTTCCAAGCATCAACAGGAAAGCTACTCCGTATACGTGACTAACTCTGTAACCCTCCTGTGGTGGATTTAATTGAGGAAGGCATGACGAAAGGGGCTGTAAATAACACAAGCCCACTCAATTTGCTGGAAAATGGTCTTTGCAGAGTGACTAACGGAGTGATGGAGGCGGGAGCAGCTACCAGATGATGTAATCCATATGCTCAAGGCTCAAAAGTCTCGTCACTGGAGATGCACAAGTTGGTGTAATGGGAATTATCATACATAGAGGCATGCGTGGTTGCCTTAATACAAACTACAAAGGCAGCACTAATGCAGGCCAAAACCAAGAACTGGCACAAACATCAAAAGATAAAAAAAAAAAAAAAGCCTTGCTTGGAAACACGGTTTGAGTCGGCCCTGATGGATGTGTGCTGAGTGGGGAGTTTCTCTGGAAGGGTCTAGTTGGTGGGACTAGGTTGAATGATGTGGAACCTTAAGTGCAGCCACTTCAGAGGGTGTGGTAATTGCGGTCCTTGGACTTGCAGAATTTGTAGAGGAAGAAGATCACCGCCTGCAGGCCCAGGACCAGCACGATTCCACCGATGAAGCTCGCGGCGTCAAAGGTGGAGTTCTTGTGAGGGCTAACTGCCGTGGTGCTCGGCACGCTGGTTCCAGCTGCGATGAAAGACAAACGAGGAAGGAGATCAGCCGCTGCTGTTTGCATACAGATCAGACGGATGTGAAAACTTTCTCCGCCATCGTGTCAGACTCACTTGAATTTGAGGGTGTAGTCGTGGAGACGGAGGTGTTGGCACTGCTGGTTGGTGTAATGGTGGAAAACGCCGTCGAGTTGTCTGTAGCAGCATCACAGGAAGAAAACACCCATCAGCCTTCATAGCAAGTCACGGGACAAGCTTCAGGTTAGAATCCTGAAGATTTACTTTGTTGTTGACGTGGCGACACCCAGAAACAAAAACTTTAACGGTACAGACACACATGAAGTAAATCTGTTGCATCATAAAAAAAGTTCTGCGCTCCATGGCCCGACCGGTGTGACCAACAGTCACATGATGGATAGTTCTGGTCTGTCTCTGCTGTAACTGGGCTGAACTGCAGCCTGTGTTTACGGACAGCAGGTATGGAGCAGACATTAGGTACAACAACCTGTTGGATGTGGAGTCAGCGCTGTTCTCCGGTACTGGTACCATCTGTGGACACCTGGTAACACGCTGTACGTCTGAATTCAGGATTTGTTTTCAGTTTTTGTATAATAAAGAAATAAACTGTCTAATCTTCAGACTGCAGCAGGCGTTTGAGTTCCCTCCAGTCGTCCCTGTTTACATCTGACTTCTCTACTTCCAGCCACAGTCGTGTTGTTCTGATCGGAGGTCCAGGACTTTATGCTGCAGTTAAAAATGTCAATGGAAGCAAAAACAAAAACACCCAGACACTGGCTGGGGTTTCATCTACCAGCTGACTGTGGCTCCTTCTTGTTCCATGAGTCCTCATAATAAACGCTACAGACTGAAAACGTAACATGAAGCAGCCGCTGTAGTGAATCAAGTTTGCATGAGCAGCATCTTAACACAACTAAAACAATACAAAGAGAGTGGGCAGCCCGTTTTCCTGCGTTTCCCTCGTGCATGTGAAGAGAACCCAGCACAGGACCAGCAGACTCTGCCTCCTATAAGCAGAACTCCTCTGTAGGACTGACTACAGGATGTAAATACTGAAAAACGCAGACCAGGAAGCATCAACACCAGCGTCCGATTCATGAGGCTCTTAAAATCTACAACTTTAAGAGATCTCAATAAATCTATGAGCAAGTTCACTTCACACAGACTACAGGAGGGAACAGCTGAGGCTTTTAGGCTTTAGTGGTTACCTGTGGCGTTGCTGTTAGTGGTGGTGGTAACAACAGAGGTATGGGGGGCTGTAGCGGGAGGGGTAGGAGTCGGAGGAGGGGTAGGAGTCGTAGGAGGGGCAGCGGTCGAAGGAGAGGAGGTACCTTCAGCCTGGACTGTTGTGCTTTGATCAACTGGACAAGGAACCACCATCGAGACAAGAGGAAGGAAAGAGAGACCAGCCAAACAAGGTTAAGCCCCACATTGCACAATGACACAGCAGCCCCCCACCAGCCCCCCACCAGGTCTCTGACAGGTTAACACAACGCTGCACATGTGGTAAAGTCTGCCGGACACCAAGAAGACACTTCAGAGGAAGACTCAGACACTTAACACCTGGATTAGAGCACAGCAGGAAACCAGAATGTGCAGAGAAACGTGGACACTTGGAGGAATCTGTCAGCCTGCATGTAGAACAACTAGAAACTCACCTGAGCAGCTGGCGTTGCTGCAGGTTTCGTTGTCTGCATTAAGAGTCATATTGCGACAGCCAGGAATTGCTGAAAGACACAAAAAAGGATCAGGAATTAAATGTTTGATTCAGGGTTTATACAAATAGAGTTAATCCAACCAGTC